ACAAACAAAAAGTGGCTGTGCGTACACACGACTGGGTGAGACCCCACCGGGAGCACTGGGTCCAGTTCTGGGCTGCCTGGTTCAAGAAACATGAGGAACTGCTAGAGAGAGTCCAGAGGAGGGCAACAAGGATGACTGGAGCATCTCCCCTATGAGGAAAGGCTGAGGGAGCTGGGCTTGTTTAGCCTGAAGAAGAGAAGACTGAGAGGGGATCTCATAAATACTTGCAAATATCTTAAGGGTGGGTGTCACAAGGATGGAGCCAGACTCTTCTCAGTGGTGCCCAGTGCCAGGACAAGGGGCAATGGGTACAAACTGAAACACAAAAGGTTCCATTTGAACATGAGGAAGAACTTCTTGACTTTGAGGGTGACAGCACTGAAACAGGCTGCCCAGGGGTGTTGTGGAGTCTCCTTCTCTGGAGATATTCAACCCCCGCCTGGACGCTGTCCTGTGCACCCTGCTCTGGGTGAGCCTGCTTGAGCAGGGGGTTGGACTAGATGAACTCCTGAGGTTCCTTCCAACCCCTCCTATTCTGTGAATCTGTGAATATGTAGAAGTGGTGGGTGAGTGCTTATTTTCCCCTCCCCACCCCCAAAAGAACAACAACTAGAACAACTTTTAGACCTTTACACTCCAGGAGAAAAATCATGACAAAGCAGCAAGGTCTTAGCTTAACCTGGCAAGTTTTTACAGGACACAGTCAGAAAGCCACAGCAACTTGGCTTTGCACGTATGCAGGATGAAGCATGGCCACCCAACACCAAACCGTGCCGCACTCCTGCAGGATCAGGATCATCGCTGTGCTGCAGCTTCGGTGGTCGCTAGCGCCAAACCCCATCTCACCTACACACACAAACCCAGCGCAGAATATTGTGCCATGAGGCCACAGGACCTCATGGTAAGAGCACGTCAGACTCATGCGTCCATGAGAGCATGAAGCTGACGGAAGAGGCAATATTTGCTTTGAACCTCTTCTGTACCATTAGCACTTGCACTAATTACGGTAGCCAACAGCAGCAGCCACGCTGATGGGAGGGCTGAACAAAAGTGGCACAGCTGTCAACCCCATTCAAAGAACCAAATCCTTAAGAGTTCGTCGTTTTGGGAACACAAACCATCCAGCAAGACACACGGGCTCGCAGCTTTTCCAGGGCAGAACGCTTCAGAGAATAAGTACAGCTGACGCAGCCGCTAAAAAACTAAGCGCGTTTGCCTGTTTCTCAGGGGGATTTAAACAGCAGGTGAGTGGGGCTGGTCTGTGGGACATGACCCTTTTTTATCTCAGCTATTTAGATGCAAATTGTTCTCCCACCCTCCCCCTCTTGACACCATCTGTTAGCCCAGAGGTTTAGACTGTGCCTAGGGTGTAGGTTTTGGGGGAGGGGTATATAGATAAAGCGTTGAGAAAATTTCAGTTGATGCCCCTGTTTCCTCTGGGGCACAGTTTAAGGGGGACAAAAAAAAATCACTTTGCAATACTATTAAATTACAATAGGATTTTTTTCTCATTCTGCTGCATTTTCCTACCAACCCCATGGATTTGCTACCCCAGAAAGCATTCCTTGTCCAGCTTTTGGCCAACAAGCAACATTATATAGTGACCCTTATAGCAGGTTGCTATGGTGTTAGCATAGGGCATGAGCTGGTATTGCAGGAAGTATCAGAGATTCAAGGAATTAAAGTCTTAAATAATAATGATTAAGTCCTTCACTACAAGGCACAGTATTTAAAGTTCTTTTAGTGCTAGGGAAGTTACCTCATCTCTGCTGTTTACCAGGGAAAATCAGACAATGCACTTTCAAGAACTGTTGAGAGATTTGCTTCATTAAACACTTCACATAGGGCTCTGGGTTCTTCATAAAGGAAAGATTACGGGTGACGGCACAGAGTGGGAGGGGTGGCTGACAGACCAGATGGGTGTGCTGCCACTCAGAGGGATATGGACAGGCTGGAGAACTGGGCCAACACCAACCTTGTGAAGTTCAGCAAAGGAAAATTGAAAGCCCTGACACTCAGGAGAAATAACCCGAGGCACCAGCACAGACTGGTAGCCAACCAGCAGAAAAGCAGCTGTGAAGAGAAAGACCTGGGAGTCCTGGTGGACATCAAGTTGAACACCTTTGCAAAGCGCCTTTACAGCAAGGAAGGTCAACAGCATCTGGGCTGCATTAGGAAGGACACTGCCAGCAGGTCAAGGGAGGGGATCCTTCCCCTCTGCTCAGGGCTGGAGAGACGCATCTGGAGTGCTAGGTCAAGTGATTACCTCCCCAGTACAAGAGAGACATGGACACACTGAAGAGAGTACAGCAAAGGTCCACAAAAATTATTAAGGACCTGGAGCATCTGATACATGAGGAGAGGCTGAGAGAGCTGGGACTGTTCAGTGTGGAGAAGGAAAATCATAGAATCACAGAATCCTAGGTTGGAAGGGACCTCAAGGATCATCTGGGCCAAGCTTTCAAGGTAAGTGCACAGTCCAGACAAGATGGCCCAGCACCCTGTCCAGCTGCATCTTGAAAGTGTCCAATTTGGCAGAGTCAACCCCTCCCCTGGGGAGATTATTGCAATGGGTGACTGTTCTCATGGTGAAAAATTTCCCTCTCATGTCCAATCGGAATCTCCCCAAGAGCAACTTGTGTCCATTCCCCCTTGTCCTCTCCATGTGACTCCTTGTAAAAAGGGAGTCTCCGTCTTCTTTGTAACTACCCTTTAAGTACTAGGACATGGTGATGAGATCCCCTCTGAGCCTCCATTTCTCAAGGTTGAACAAACCCAGCTCTCTCAGCTCATCCTCATACAGCTAAGAGAGGCTTCCCAGGCCTTGATCATCTTGGTGGCCCTTCTCTGGACACCCTCCAGCCTCTCCACAGCTTTTTTTGTACAGCGGGGACCAGAACTGTACACAGGATTCCAGATGTGGCCTTGACAAAACACTGAGTAGAGTGGGATAATGACTTCTTTATCTCTGCTGGTGATGCCCTTCTTGATGCAGCCCAGCACCCTGTTGGCCTTCTTGGCTGCAGCAGCAGCACACTGCTCACTCCTGTTGAGCTTGTTGTCCACCAGGACCCCCAGGTCCCCTTCCAGAGAGCTGCTCTCCAGTGGGGTGGATCCCAGTCTGTGCTGCACTCCTGGATTATGTTTTCCCAGGTGCAAGACCTTACAGTTGTCCATGTTGAACTTCCTAGGGTTCTTGTTAGCCCACTCTTCCAGCCTATCCAGGTCTTCCATCAGGGTGGCTCTCCCTTCTGGAGTGTCTACTTCCCCATTCAATTTGGTGTCGTCTGCAAAGTTTATTTAGGCTACATTTGATCCCATCATCCAGATCCCTTGTGAAGATATTGCGAGGCACCAGCACAGACTGGTAGCCAACCAGCAGAAAAGCAGCTGTGAAGAGAAAGACCTGGGAGTCCTGGTGGACATCAAGTTGAACACCTTTGCAAAGCGCCTTTACAGCAAGGAAGGTCAACAGCATCTGGGCTGCATTAGGAAGGACACTGCCAGCAGGTCAAGGGAGGGGATCCTTCCCCTCTGCTCAGGGCTGGAGAGACGCATCTGGAGTGCTAGGTCAAGTGATTACCTCCCCAGTACAAGAGAGACATGGACACACTGAAGAGAGTACAGCAAAGGTCCACAAAAATTATTAAGGACCTGGAGCATCTGATACATGAGGAGAGGCTGAGAGAGCTGGGACTGTTCAGTGTGGAGAAGGAAAATCATAGAATCACAGAATCCTAGGTTGGAAGGGACCTCAAGGATCATCTGGGCCAAGCTTTCAAGGTAAGTGCACAGTCCAGACAAGATGGCCCAGCACCCTGTCCAGCTGCATCTTGAAAGTGTCCAATTTGGCAGAGTCAACCCCTCCCCTGGGGAGATTATTGCAATGGGTGACTGTTCTCATGGTGAAAAATTTCCCTCTCATGTCCAATCGGAATCTCCCCAAGAGCAACTTGTGTCCATTCCCCCTTGTCCTCTCCATGTGACTCCTTGTAAAAAGGGAGTCTCCGTCTTCTTTGTAACTACCCTTTAAGTACTAGGACATGGTGATGAGATCCCCTCTGAGCCTCCATTTCTCAAGGTTGAACAAACCCAGCTCTCTCAGCTCATCCTCATACAGCTAAGAGAGGCTTCCCAGGCCTTGATCATCTTGGTGGCCCTTCTCTGGACACCCTCCAGCCTCTCCACAGCTTTTTTTGTACAGCGGGGACCAGAACTGTACACAGGATTCCAGATGTGGCCTTGACAAAACACTGAGTAGAGTGGGATAATGACTTCTTTATCTCTGCTGGTGATGCCCTTCTTGATGCAGCCCAGCACCCTGTTGGCCTTCTTGGCTGCAGCAGCAGCACACTGCTCACTCCTGTTGAGCTTGTTGTCCACCAGGACCCCCAGGTCCCCTTCCAGAGAGCTGCTCTCCAGTGGGGTGGATCCCAGTCTGTGCTGCACTCCTGGATTATGTTTTCCCAGGTGCAAGACCTTACAGTTGTCCATGTTGAACTTCCTAGGGTTCTTGTTAGCCCACTCTTCCAGCCTATCCAGGTCTTCCATCAGGGTGGCTCTCCCTTCTGGAGTGTCTACTTCCCCATTCAATTTGGTGTCGTCTGCAAAGTTTATTTAGGCTACATTTGATCCCATCATCCAGATCCCTTGTGAAGATATTGAATAATGTTGGGCCCAATATCGATCCCTGGGGTACCCCACTTGTGATGAGTTTCCAGTTAGAAAAAGAGCTATTTACCACCAGTTGCCAGTTAGAAAAAGAGTTATTTATTTGGGTGCAGCCTGTCAGCCAATTCCCGACCCACCACACAGACCACTTGTCCATGCCATAATGCATCAATTTGTCCAGGAGGAGGCCGTGGGGAACCATGTTGAAAGCCTTGGAGAAGTTCAGGTAGACAACGTCCACCACTCGCCCCATGTCAACCGAGCAGGTCACTTTATCACAGAAGGCCACCAGAAAATCTCAGGGGGATCTTATCTATGTGCATAAATACCTGATGGGGGTGTAAAGAAGATGGAACCAGTCTCTTCTTGGTGGTATCCAGCAACAGGACAAGAGGCAATGGCACAAACTGAAATACATGAAATTCCATTTAAATGTAAGCAGGAGGGGAAAACACATCAAAACAAAGCCAAAAAAAAAACCAAAACAAAAAATTTTTTTTCCTGGGGAGGGAACCAAACCACAGAACAGGTTGCCCAGAAAAATCATGGCGTTTCCATCCTAGGGGGTGCTCAAAACCCCACTGGACATGCCCTGAGCAAACTGTTCCACTGCCATCACTTTAAGCAGGGGGATTGGACTAGACTATCCCCAGAGGTTCCTGCCAACTTTACCAATTCTGCAAAACAAAAAATTTTTTTTCCTGGGGAGGGAACCAAACCACAGAACAGGTTGCCCAGAAAAATCATGGCGTTTCCATCCTAGGGGGTGCTCAAAACCCCACTGGACATGCCCTGAGCAAACTGTTCCACTGCCATCACTTTAAGCAGGGGGATTGGACTAGACTATCCCCAGAGGTTCCTGCCAACTTTACCAATTCTGCAAATAAAAGCCACAAAATACGGCAGGGAGGCTCTAAAGGAGAGAAATATGCAACATCACTCAAACTACTTATCTGAGTAAGTTTTTTTAGTCAACAGCATCCCAGGCCCCAGTTTAGCAATGAAGACAAATTAGAAGAGGTGATAAGTGACAACCTTGAGCAGAAAAATCAGTGAGAGTTGGGATCAGTACAACACCACCCTCATTTTGAGTTCTAACGTGTGGAGTACAGTCCTGCCGCTTGGGAGATGCAAGCTCTCGTCCCAGTTCTCGCACAGACCTCATTTAAGAAAATACAGTGTGCATTTCAGAGCCTCAGCTGGAGCTGAGCAAGTTCTCAGGCTGCTCTTGCACAACATTCAAGGCTGACACCAAGATGGGTTCAGGCGGACCTTACTGATTGTGCTCCACTGAAGTGGAGGAAAGGAGCTCTTACTTCGGCTGGGAAGGCTCCTTGCCAGGCAAGGTTTGCACAGCAACATTTTTAAAAGGGTTTGGGGCCCTTTTTTTTTTTTTACTGTTGAGATATTGTTTTGGTGTTTTGAGTGTTGCCAACACAAACACAACATTTTCCTCTTTCTTGCGCAGACAGAAGAGGCCAGATCTCAACATATGATCTCAACTACTTGGTGACAGCCAGGACCTTCAGGTACCTACTTCCAAACTATTAACTTCTAAAATATATGCAATTCAGTATCTCTTACTGGAAAGCAATATTCTGACAAAAGTTGGAGACATTTCATAGAAGCATTTTCCTATTAAAAAAAAATAAATCATCTGAACAAACAATGTTTCAATAAATTTGTGCTGGTATTTTGAGAGAATTTAAAGTTTTCATTTTAAGATAAAAGTGGTTATATTTTCTCCATTTATGGAAAGTAGAGTTTTTAGAACATCGGCATTTGCCCTATAGAATGAGAGTCATCTTTATGCACTGCTCTAAATCACCAGCTAATTTCTGTTTCCAGATCTCTGGCATCTCACCAGCACTACTGAGAATCTAAAGAACAGTTACTGGAAATGTTTTTATTTAACCAACTTCTTGTTCACAAATCCAAGCGTATGTATAAATTTTAAGGGCTGCAATCCTGCAGTCTGATCTGTAATACAAGATACAGGCACCGATTCTCAGTCTCCTTGACTTTAAAAAACCAGAAAGGTCATCTGTGATAGCTAAGGGGTACTTGGCCTTAATGCCAGCAAGCCACCCACTGAAAACAGTGGGAGTTTAGCCCAAATTAGGATTTCAGGACTTATCCCATAATGCCCTGTAACACTTCCCACACAGTACTACCTGATGGCTTCTGAAAATCGGCAAAATGTGAAGGACGTGCCGACAACATCCCAGATGAGGTTGAATTGAATTCAATCCATATATGCCTGCATACGCACATATTCTTGTAATTCCACGTTACCGGGGTTTTTAGCATGCTGACTTTAAAAGCAGAGTGGCTAAAAACACATCTCCAAAAGCTGCTCAATGCCAAACAAACCAGACTTCTAAAAGCAAAAAACCCACAAAGCAATTGCATCCAGGACATCACTGAACTTGTGCAATAATCCCCCCCATTTGCTTCCCCGCTGTTATTAGCGATTAGATAAGTAACAACAACAATAGCCAGATGCTTTTCTAGACCCTTTTTCCAGCACCACTTCCCAAATTGTCGTCGTCTCCCACAGAGACCTCCAGAACAGCCCTAGAATAACTTCTACCACCCCCAGCGTGACCGGGGACAAGGTGGGTGGGTTTACAGCCAGGAAGCATCAAGGTCCAAGTGCCAATTGCTGCCCACACGATGCCTTTGTGCCCAGATCTAACAGCATGGATGCTCAGGAAACCACTCTGCTCCTGGTTGATGGTCTTTCCCATCCCTGTTCCACACTCGATTTGGACAACATTTGCTTAGATAACTGTATGCCCAAGTTGAACGTTTCCTCTGAGGGAAACGTGACTATCGGCCCTCGTCAACCCAATCTGACCCTTATCCTGTAGTGAGCCAAGCAACAGCCAGTTCACGTATTCCATGGCTTCTACAGTGTTGCTGCTCTGGATGAGGGGCCTGGATCCTGCCCAAACTGAAGCCACCCATTTCACTGATAACAGCATAGGGTCTGTGGCATCTAATTCTTAAACAGGTCCTTTATTTGGATCCCTGGAGGCAGCAGGGGCTTACACGTGACAGGATCAACACCTACGGTGCAAGTCAGATTGCATCCCTGTAAATAATCAATGCAGCAACTGGGACACAGTATGTAATGGTTTGGTACAGCCTGTTTAGCTGTCACAGCAGCACCCTGACAACAACCAACAGAAAAAAAAAAAACCAAACAAAACAAGAAAAAGGTTTAAGAGATAGCCAAAGGGCAGCGGGTCTTTCAGGGACTCAAACATGACGCATTTTGGAGCGGGATTCAAACCAAGCACACGCGCTGCTGAAGAGACAAGACAGGTTCCGTTTAAAAGCAGCACGGAGTTATCAAATGACAAGAAGACTTCCAGAGGTTAGTTGGCATGCTTGCATTTTACCCTGAAACTAGTCTATTATTTTCTTTTAAGATGATCCAAATTCATGAGAAGGAAAGAAGCCTGATTCAAAGAAAAAAATAAAAGAAAAAAGAAAAGGAAAGAAAAAAAAAAGGCAGGAAAAAAAAAAAAATCCCGTAGTTGTCATGCTTATGACTTACATTCTCTGCACAGGAAATCTCTGGAGCAAGCAAAAGCCTGCCTGCCCTCCACTTCACAAAGCCTTGATATCATAATCACATTTTTAAAATATTGCCTTCTTGAACGATGCAAATTAAAAGGCCTAAGTAATTCTCTGACATACTACTGAAAACCACATACCAACACGAAATAGCGATTTATTGCATGCAAGTCCATTAAACTATTACTTACAGCGTAATAAACAGCAGCCACACAGATACCACTGTCACCGCTGAGCGGAAAACCTAGGAAATTCCTCGTCCCTGAGCCCTGGAGTTTGAGGGAGAGAAGTTGAAGTGCTCCTGCTTGGAGCCGGGTTTTGTCCTCCAGGAGGACTACAGTATCTCAGCTAACTGTCCCGTAATTATCATGCACACTTTATAGTCAATAAAACAAAAGGGACTCTTAACTTCAAAAGTAATTTTTAAGGAAAAGCAGCGGAAAGCTTTTCAAAAGATGGCAGTGAAAGGACAAAGAGAGGAGGCTGTGCATTTATATTGGTCAGTAAGGCACTCGGTCGCGACAACTGTGACCGAGGACGGTCATGGGAGACCAGGCTTCATAGGCCACACTGAAAGCGGTTTTATTTTCACAGCGGGAACGCAGTTGTCGACCACTCAGAAAGAGCCCCAAATGAGAAGGGGGAGGCTGGCCAGCCAGAACAAGACACCCAGCTGGCTCCCCAGCCTAGGCAAAAGCTTGGTTCTCTGAAGCTTTTTATTTTCCCTTCCTCTTCCAGGGTTAATATTGGGATGGTATCAGTTCCTCTTTCCCAAATGGAAAGCCCTCGGGGAGCAAATCAGATTTCAAAGCTTTCTAACAACTACGCAGACCACGCCGTCAGAGCTCGCTGCTTAACACGTACGCGTGAGTGTTCAGGGCATTCGCAGAGTAGTCTTGGGATCAGGGCAGAGCTACACTTGGATGTTCTCCAGGGGTATTTTAGGCGAACAGAATCAAATTGCCACACAAACATAATTGCCAAGTTTCAGTCTAATGTTACAGCAATTTGCTAGACATGTTTTATTTCAGAGGACAGACTGGTGGAGCAATATTTTGTTGTTATTAATGTGTCCAAGTCCCTTAACGCAGCATTCATATCTTTGGTAAGCGAAAGGTTTTCTTCTTCTTCCTCAACTTCTGCTTTTGATAATACGAAGCATTACAAATTCTTCACGCAGCCTGGAAAAAAGATGTGGATAGAGCAAGTTTAAGGCAGTTCTTAGTGAGAAAGATGCAGAGGAGCACAGGATGTTCAGTGCTCTGCTTTCTCATCCAGGAGTCCATCCAGAAAACCAGCCTGCAAGAAATTTGCTAAGTATCTGGTCGCTGCATTACCTGACGCTTTTAATTCTTGCAACCCACGCAGAGCCGAAGCATCTGGGAAACAGGATTTTGCTGCCTCCAACCCCACAGTATTTAAGAGAGGTCAAGGCTCTTTGAAAAGGCTGCCCAGAAAACATGTGCACGATTAGCATGTTTCTATGCTCCCATGGCCAAATCACTGTCCGCCCAGCTCTTGCCCAGCGCAACTCGCTGTTTCCAAGCCTTGCAGGCATCTCGCGGCATCACAGGGATGCGCTCAGACGGTCCGAGGGCATCAATATGCATTTGGACCATCTGTTAAACCCACAAGGCATCCGCTGTCAGAAGATTCGTAGCGTGGGGAGTCAGCATTAAGCAGCAAGTACGGTTGCTTCACCATTTCTTTTAAAAGATATTTTTGTCCCAGTCCCACAGAATTGGCATGTCACTTAGAGAGGACCTTTTGGTCACGGCACCACAAGAGATTTCAGGTTTCAGAGTAAAGCTGAGCTATCGAAAAA